ACCATTTGTTTTAATAGCTACAATTGTATTTTGAAAAAATAACCTGGAATGTGAGAAACATTCAAAATAAACTAGCTAGTAATATTTAAAGTATAAGCTGGAAATTTAAAATACACTTAGGTACACACACAAAAAACTACATTACCCACAATGCTGACACTTTGATTTATTTAGTATAATAAAGTTCTTGAAACATGTCTAATATCACTCATAATCACCTGGCTGCTTCTTCATTTAGAAGAATTGAAAATTAAGGATAGCAATTACTTGTTTTTAAAAGCATTTCAAAGTACGACATAACAGGAATAAATATTTCAGGAGAAGTACCAAAAGCTAATTTTCTTGCCTAATTTAGACAAGGCTCAAAAATTGAAACCCTGAACATACCATAAAATACCTAAGGTACACAGGCAGGTATAAATAAATCTCCACTATATTATGGCCCTGAACTGAATGAAAATGTTTACGTGTCTTCAAGAAAATTCCAACCTAAAAAATGAATTTAATTCTTCCTCACCATGGTATATACCTAACAGAAGGAATACTAGCAAAATTAGAAGGCTTGGGTTCCAGTATAAGTTTGCCACCTGACTACTGTGCGACAATTTGGCATTCATTCATTCATCGGGTATTTTGCAGCTCTTATGATGTCCCAAAACAATGGAAACAAAGTAGTGAAGAAAGTATCAAAAAATCCCTGCCCTCATGACACACTGTAGTGAATCACTTGATCTCTAAAAATATTTCAGGTTTTCTTTCTCTAAAATAAATCTCATATTTGAGATTATTTTCAATTGTTTAAAAGAAATCCGTATTACTTTTTTGAACCTAGGAAAGCAACTTATGGAGCATAACTTGAAATCCACTCTTGTCACTGGCTAAAACTATTTTTTGTATCATTATATTCAGACAGCAAAAAGAGAAATATAGGTAACTGAAATTCTTGAAGGACTTATTTAAATTTGCTAATATTGGTTTATACAATCTAGATGAGCTATGAGCTTTGTTGGCCTATTACTTGGTAACTAAACTTCCTCAATGGGATCCAGGAAGGAAGCAGAACATCTTATGAGAAATCTCTCCATGTAATGAATAATTTTAGAGACATTTCCAGTATTTAAGTCTATAAAAACATAGACTGCTTAGTGAATCAACTAATCAGCTTTTCTTTTTTTTCTTCCTTTCAGAGTAGGATCTGATCTTTGTTTTCAAAGTCCTTGCTTCAAAACAGGTAGTCAAAAATCCAATTGTGTATTCAAATCCAGTTCCTGTGTCTAATAGTCAATTTTTTCTTTCATTTATCATCAAGATATATTCTTCCCCACAAGAAAACAGTCATGACAATCCTTGAAGCATAATTCCTCAACTTCAAAATGGTAAAATTTTAAAATAGCTTATATATTCATTTTTCCCGATAAGCTTTAGAATCACAAATTACATTTCTGATATGACCAAAACAACATTCACTTTAAATATCCCTTCCTGCAGTTTCTAATCTCTGAGTATCATTCCCAAATGAGAAATTGACTTAAGTATCTACCACAAAATAACAACAAAAAAACCATATTCAACCCAAAGAGCCTCCTCCATTTATTTTTCACCCATAAAATATGTTCAAAGTTTGCCAAAGCAAGCTAACTCCACCAACTTCAAAAGAGAGGATAAGCAGTAGTTCCCAATTATGTCAATTTTGGACATACTATTGTTAATCTCTAATGGTCTAGCTGAATTTATGCTTATTTTTAAAGGCGTTTTAAGAATAGGAGCGCCACCATCAGATCTAATAAGTGCAAATGCAGAAGTGTGGAAATGGCTAGGGAGAGAGAAGATGCACAAAAAGTGGTGTAACAACTTTACATAAAATACATATAAAAACATGAATTATTCTATTTTCCACAGTGATCTGAACTGTAAGTGGCCTCCAAAACTAGGTTCTCAACTTAGCTATATCAAATACCAAATTGCAAAAGGAAATCTTAGAACACCCATTTATATTTTAAAAGCCTCATATTGATGAATAGTTGACTTGATTTATATTTTAAAATCCAATAATTAAGAACTTTGATAAAACTGAAATGACTTATAATTTAGAAAAACCATGATTATGATTATATTAATTATCCAGCTCTCCTGCTGTTCGTTCACCTTTTAGAAAGGACCCTCATTACTGGCAGCTAGGTATAATGATTAAAAAAAAAAAAGGTCAGGCTTTGGAACTAGGGAGACATGGGTTTGAATTCTGCTGCATCACACCTTGAACACAAACTTTCTAAACCTATTTTTTCATCTCTGAAATGGGAGTATTAATATCTACCTTGAAGAACTTATAATAATTAGTGAAAATACATGTAAAGCAGCTAACGCATAGTAGGAACTCCAGCTGCTGTTCATCATTCATAAGCACATTAAAGAGAAGATATAAGAAAGGACATGATAGGAAAATAAATCAGAATCTAGGTTACATTTAACTGCTAAAACAAAACAAAATAAACACACACCATGACAGTTCAAGTGCAATTTCGGGTTAAACTTTTTGTTCACATTTTAGGTATACAATATTGTAGCCTCTACTTATAAATAAGTAAAATTCAATATTAGCTACAGGAGCACTTATTTTGGAGCTATATAAAAATAAAAATTATTGTATAATACAACAGATAATTTTATGAACAGGTGAGATGATTTCACCATAGAAAAAATGCCAAAACTAAGATTTAAAAATGCTTATGAAAGGATAGTAAAAGATTCCTACCTTTAAACCGACTGCTATAAGATCTGTAACAACACTGTATGGAAAAAGTAAAAAGAGAAAATGGAAAACAAAGTTAGAGAACAAGTTTTTAAAAGACAGATAATAAGATTAGAGAAAAAAAAAGAAAAAGCATTATAATAACAAATAATAAAAATAAGAATGTGATGAGTTGTGAAATGTTACTACAAAGAAAAGTGATGGGACAGCCTAGCAACAGCAGAATGTAAAAGCAAAGCTTTAATATAGCAATGTAAGAAACAACAAATAAATAAAATTCTCTTTTAGTATATAGAAAAGTATAGTTGTGCTTTAATAAAATTAGTTAAGTATATGTTTATCCATTTATCTCTTTTTAACAAATCCAAACCAAAACTTAAAATCACCATCATTCTCTTACTTCATTGGTATAAATGATCATATTTAAAGTTTTAAATGAAACAAAACCAGCGAGTGGATTTTACAGAAATAGAAGGTATCTTGCAAATTTGCATCTACCACCCAAAACAGCTCACCAAAACATAGCTAAGATAGTCTCTCAAAACACATCAACTTCAGACATCAAAATTTTCAAAGATTTCTTTAAAAAAAATACCACACTAAAACTGTTTTAGTATAAATTACCTCAGGAGGAAATGAACACACACACACACACACACACACACACACACACACACACACACACACAAACGGCAGCATGACAGTTGGGATTTGAGGAGGAACTAGAAAGATGTTGACTGGTGTTTCGTTTTCTAACTACACAAAACAATGAAAAAGGACCTTTTTCAGGCTGTGGGAAAATGTAGAAATTTAATTAGCCTCCTGAAAGCCAAAATTCACCGTGTTAAAAAAAAAACATCATTCCTTAACACCAAGGTGTAAAAACCCCTATAAAGTTCTACCGAACAAAAATCCATCTCTTCTAACTCCAAAGAAAACTGTCTTCAATTAAGTTTGTCTCCATAGGTCCTAAAAAACAGTTCTAACTAAATTCTATATATTGTTAATAACCTATAATGTCATCATTACTTAATAAAAAGAAACAAATTAATGGCTCTGGACTGTTTAATTAATGCATATTTAATTCTTTTAAACAATAACCATCTAGATTTTTTATTTTTCCTTACTTTTGAAACATGAAATTCATTTGTGTGAAATTTAAATGTAATAACTGATGTTTGTGCATACAAAATAAGACTGTAATATATTAATACTATGGTATTGGTCCTGTTGCAAAGAATAAATCATGAACCTACTTGAACTCCCAAATGAATTTCCCTTCTAGTATCTTATTGTCCCACATATTTAAATTATTGAACTCATTCATATGTTTAAAACCACACAGCGTGAGGAGTTAACTTCTTAAAACACTGTCCAAAAGAGTAAGTTTGCATTTCACGTTGTCCAAGAGTTTAACAGCCAAGATACATAGCCCAAGAGTCCTCTTTATTATCACTATAAATTTTCCAATACAAAAAACTAACCTGCTTCCTCTGTATCTCAAGTCAAACGGTCTTACGATAATTCACACACATAATGAAACACTAATTTCACAGCCTTCCTAACTGAAATAGTGGCATAATTACACAAAATAGCAACATTTTGCACATATAAAGGTAATTGAATAAGGTGATGTGAAACAAGTTTTTAACAATGCTCTCAGAGAAGCTTCAATTAAATACAAAGTTTCAATTAAATAAAAAATGCTTTAAAGAACATCACAACCATAAATAAAATGTAAAACTGAACTTTGTCTAATGTCTGTAGCAGTCAGTGTGCAATCCGCATTCAAATGAGTTAATCCAATATATCAGACTTAATATTATAAAACTAGGATAAATAAAATTTATTGGAAGATTTCCATCATCTTTACACAGCATGAAAATCACCAACTATGACAACATGTACACAGCTTTTACTGTTCAAGCAAGTTCTACATATTCTACAACCCAGAGGTTTACAGAAATCTTGTCATCAAAAGCAAATAAAGGCCAAGCAAAACCTCGAATGCCTAATGGGAACAGACAAGTGGATCTGCAGGGTCTAAAAGAGCTGGAGATTTATAAAAACTGTTGATGTACATATACTACGACCTTCAGTTAATTCACTAAGATCCTAGTTGTTTCCTCAATCATCAAAATATCTGTAAGGTCCCCACGAGAAATATTTATGTCGGGGATTTCAAATATTTTTATTTTGATCACGGGTCTCATTAACTTTTAGAGCTTTTGAAGGCTCTCCAAAAATTGCACTTACACAATATTTTACATACATGGCAGGGAATTCAAGAAGTTTCTTTGGGGGGGGCGGGGTGAACGTCCATGGTCACCAAGTCCAGACGCACGGTATACAGAAATCGTTACCACAGCTCACAGCACAAGTCTGGAGACCTGGGGCTGGTTCTCCCGCATGCCAAGACCCCGCGTGGGGCCCTGGCTTCGGGACCAGGTCGCCGCCCAGACGTGTACGGACGCGAGCATTCGCTGTCCGCCACTCGGCGGCCACTCGCCTCCCCGCCAGGGGAAGCTCCCTCCAGCGCTCGCCCCACCTCGCCGGTAAACAGCAACTCCCCAAGCGGGAGGACGCCCGCCCCGGGCGCCGCCTCCGCCTCCCCCAGGGCCGCGCACCATTTTCTGAGAGGAAGTGTCGGGAAGCCGGGTAGGGCTCTCCGGACTCTCGGTGCGGACGGCGGCCCCGGCCCCCAGCGGCTGCACCGGGCTTTCCTCCACTCCCGGTGTGAGGGTGTGAAGGGGCGGATATTACCGGGGCGCCTCGTGGGGGAAGGCGAGGCTGCGGCGCACCGCCCCTCCGTGACTCGGGCTCCCCTAGGAGGCGCCCGGAAGCCCCGCCGTCGGGCTCGGCCCGGGCCGCTCCTCGGGTCGCCGGTGCCATTCCCCGCTCCCTGGCTCCCCGGCCTCGGCACGTCCGGACAAGAGCCGAAAGGAAGTGGGGCAAGCGCAGCCCCCCGCGGCCGCCGCGTCGCCGAGGACTTACCCATCCATGGCCCAGACGGAGGAGCACACAGTACAGGGACTGACGGGCTCACCGCGAGCGGAGGGAGGAGGCGGCGACAGCGACAGCAGGGCGGCTCCGAGGGACGGGCAAGCGGTGCCTCTCCGGAGCCCCAGCCGGTCGGAGGTGGAAGGAGAGTGGGAAACAGGGGCGGAGACCAGGGACGATCCCGCCACCGCCGCGCCCCCGCCTTCCCACTCCGCAAGCGCGTCCCCGCCTCGCCTCGCCCCGCCCCTTGGCGTCGACGCCCTCCCTGGGCCCCGCCCTCCGCCGGCCTCCGGCTCGGCTCCAGGGCGCCCTCTTCCAGCGGGCGCCTGAAGACCCCGCCTCTCGGCCCCTTAGCCCTCCACCCCGTGCGCGCCGCGTTCACGGGGAGCGCGTGCCTGTGCTTCCCGCTTCGCCGCCCCGCCCGCCTGCCTTCCCGCGGGTTCCGCGTGCCTTCGGGCTTTTCCGCGCAGGGCCGCCTGACTTGGACACCTCCCTCTACTGGCGAGAAAAGCGCTGGGAGAGAGTAGGTACCGGTAGGAGTGTCCCGCGAGGACCCCAGAACCACGGCGGGATTGCCCCGGGTGGGCAAGACTGTCGGTGGGTCGGCCCCAAGCACGCAGGCGAGGCGCGGGCTGTTGACCTCGGAGCCCCGGGCCCTTCAGTTGAAGGAAGCCCGGGGTCGGGACCCCGGTGCGACCCGCCCATTGTCCCCCCCGGGCTTGGAGTCTACGCTAGGACCCGCGCCGGCCCGATAGGTATGGTTGGGATTAAGATGAATGGGGTGGAAGACACTGCTCCGAACTTGAGAACGTTTGAATTTTTATACAGTTTTAGTCTCTGGCAGCTTTTCGACCCGACCGCCTGGGATTAAATTTATATGAAACATTCATTGCACAATATGGAAAAGCCACTATAATGCAGCGTTTTATAAAAGTTTCCACTTTCCTCCATGTAAAAAAACAACCACCACCAAACAACAAAAATTTACCAGAGTGCGATTCCCGTTTTTTCAGATAAAAATTTAGACTCGAATTCGGTGATTTACCCAGTTTCATAGCCACTTGAGAGTCCTTTCCTCTAGGTTGAGCAAAATTGTGCATGTATATAATAGAGGCAACTCGCTTGTATATTTTTTCACTTTTATATTCTGTCTAGTTCTGAAATTGAGTGAGTTTTCCATTCACGGATCACCAAAATGTAAGCCACTAAACATTGCCCTCAACCAAATTATTTTTATTTATTAAAATTTTTTTATTAGTTGCAGGTGTATAAAACAACATAATAACTAGACATTTACACTCTTCACAAAGTGATAACCCCCCTCTCCCCCTCCAAATCTACTAGCTCTCTGACATGCTACATAGCTATAACAATATCATTGACTATATTCCCTATGCTGTACTTTACATCCCATGATGATATATACACACACACACACACACACACACACACACACACACAACACACACATACACACACAGAGGGTGCCAATAAAATGAATATACATTTTAAGAAAAGAAAAAACTTAAGATTACACTGATGGTAACCACTTTGCACACCTCTTGTAATTACAGAAGTCAAACATGACTTGTATTCATCTTTTGTTTTCGGCACATATTATTACAATTTTGATAGTTTTTTTTTTTTTCTTAAAATGTGTATACATTTTTTGGCACTGTGTGTGTGTGTGTATTTGACATTTTATATTTTGTTAGTTTCAGGTGTGCAGCGATGGTTAGGCATTTATATAATCTATGAAGTGATCCCTGATCAGTCCAATGTCCATCTGACACCCTACATAGTCTGTACAACATTATATTCCCCATTCTATATTTCACATGTCTGTCACTCTTTTGTGACTACCAATTTGTACTTTCTAACCCCTTCACCTTCTCCTCCATCCCCAAATCCCACTCCCGTCTAGCAACCAACAGTTTTTTCTCTGTATCTATGAATCTATTTCTGTTTTGTTTGCTTGTTTATTCTGTTTTTTAGATTCCACATGTAAGTGAGATCTATGGTATTTTTCTCAGTCTGACTCATTTAGCATAATATGCTCTAGGTCCATCCATGTTGTTGCAAATGCTAAGATTTCTTTTTTTTTCTTTTTTCTTTTTTTTTTTAAGCTGAGCCATCCTGCCACCTCACCTGTTGGCAGCTCAGCGGCTGCTCAGCTCGGGCCGGGCATCGAACCGCTGTTGCTCAGAGCTCAAACTCTTGAGTGAGCTCTTAACCAACTGAGCCACTCGGCCAGCCCCAAGATTACTTTTTTTTTATGGCAGAGTAACACTCCACTGCATATATGTACCACAATTTCTTTATCCAATTGTCTATTGATGGGCATTTCAGTCGTTTCATATCTTGGCTATTGTGAATAGCGCAGCAATAAACATAGGGATGCATATATTTTTGCAAATTAGTGTTTTAGATTTCTTGGGATAAATAACCAGGAGTGGAATTGCTGGGTCATAAAATATTAATAGTTATATTTTTAATTCTTTGAGGAACCTTCGTACTGTTTTCCATAGTGGCTGCACCAAGTTGCAATCCCACCAGTAGTACACCAAGTTTCCTTTTCCACCACATCCTCACCAACACTTGTTTGTTGATTTATTGATGATAGCCATTCTGATAAGAGTGTGGTTCAGATCTCATTGTGGTTTTTATTTGCATTTCTCTGATGATCAGTTGAGCATCTTTTCATATGTATATTGGCCATCTGTATGTCTGCTTGCTTTAGATAAATGTCTCTATGTCCTCTGCTTTTTTTTTTAATTGGGTTGTTTGTTTATTTGGCATTGAGTTGTATGAGTTTTTTAAATAAGTTTTGGATATTAACCCCGTATCAGATGTATCATTGGTAAATATCTTCTCCTATTCAGTAGGATGTCTTGTTTTGTTGGTGGTTTCCTTTGCTGTGAAAAAACTTTTTAGTTTGATGTGGTTCCATTTGTTTTTTTTTGTTTTTTGTTTTTTTGGGTTTTTTTCTTCCCTTGCCCAAGGGGATATATCAGTAAAAATCTTACTAAGGGTAATGTCTGAGAGTTTACTTCCTGTATTTTTTTCTAGGAATTTTATGGTTTCGGGTCTTACAGTTAAGTCTTTAATTCATTTTGAGTTTATTCTTGTATATGGCATAAGAAGGTGGTCCAGTTTCATTTTTTTTCATGTATCTGTCCAGTTTTCCCAGCATCATTTATTAAATGGATTGTCCTTACCCCAATGTAAATTTTTGCTTCCTTTGTCATAGATTAAGTGATCATTTAGGCATGGATTTATTTCTGAGCTCTATTCTGTTTCATTGATCTATGTGTCTGTTTTTATGCCAATACCATACTGTTTAGATTACTATTGACTTGTAGTATAATTTGATATCAGGTAGCATGATACTTCTGTTTTGTTCTTATTTCTTAGAATTGCCATGGCTATTCGGAGTCTTTTATGGTTACATGTACATTTTAGGATTATTCTAGTTCTGTGAAAAATGTCATTGGGGTATTTTGATAGGGATTGCACTGAATCAATATATTGCTTTGGGTAATATGGACATTTTAACTATATTAAGTCTTCCTATCCAGGAGCGTGGTATATGGTATATGTTTCCATTTATTTGTATCTTCTTTAATTTCTCTCTTCAATGTCTTATAATTTTCTGAGTATAGATCTTTTACTTCCTTGGTTAAATTTATTCCTAAGTATTTTTTTTGATGCAACTGTGAATGGGATTGTTTTCTTAATTTCTCTTTCTGATAGTTCGTTATTTGTGTATAAAAATGCAACTGATTTCTGAATATTAATTTTGTATCCTGCTACTTTACTAAATTCACTTATCAGTTCCAATAGTTATTTGTCCTTGACCAAATTCTTAATCTTCTGAGTAGAAAGAAAGGGCTGCTGCCTCTCTGCTTCCTAATTTGGAAAGCAAGTAACAAGAAGCTCAAGCAACAAGTAGCAAGGTATCATCTATCCTTGCTAATATGCTGCTTTTCAATAAGTGGGTGTTACTAAAAAGTTTTAAATTGTCTATTCATCCACCATTCAGTCCATATTTATTGAATGTTTACCATGTACCAAGCACTGCAGGGGTTTCCAAGAAAATCAGGTTCCAGCCTTCACAGTTGAATGGATTCTATGTTCAGTTTATTATTTATTTATTGGCCCAAAACAATTTTTAAATAGCTCAGGTACCTTATTCAGGGAAACCATTTTTAAAGTACTATATCTAACCTCAATCCTTCTTTCCAAAAGTTCAAATATATTTTGTTTTGTATGTTAAATCCAAAATTAAGTTACAGTTGTATTGTAAACTTTGCCACCCTACATTGCCAGATGGATATTAAAAGTATCAGCAAGATAAGTAGTTGATGCACTCTTGCTGTTGTTCGGGGATATATTCTGTTGATGAAATTTCCTTAATTTATTTTTTAGCTACACAAATAATATAACCAGACATACTCATTTTGGAAAATTAAAACTATTAAATATTAAAAAGTTATAATTATTTTTCTTCACAAATCACCGATAATCAGTGTAACAATTCTGTGTGCATCCTCTAAACCCTCACTGTTTTTTTATTTGTTTTTTTCACTTAAAAATTTTGGAGATTTTTTTCATGTCAGTAGTTTTCATCTACATAATTCTTTTTAATACTTCATGGTATTTCATGTACCATAATTTATCTAATGTTTTACAAAGTAGTAGAAATTTGCATTGTTTCTAATTATTTAAAATAACTAACAATATTGCAAAGAACATCATGTATGTATGAACATCTTTGCACACATATGATTATATCTGAGGAATAGATTCCTAGACGTAGAATTGCAGAACAAAAGTATAGGCATTTTCAGTATTTTTCAAATATCGCCAAAATGATTCCCAAAAGGCTGTACCAATTTATACTTGATTTAAAAAACAAAAAGTTGTCTTTCTCTTAGCCCCATACCTTAAGATAGGCTAACAAATTTCAATATTAAAAAATAAATGTGAAATCTATTTGAAATTCACTGACTGTATTTCTAACAATAACTCTGAAAAGTCTCCAATGTAAAGACAGTATACCTCACCAAATAAACAAAATTGTGACATTTCCTAACCACTTAACGTCCAGTTTTTTTGCTTTCTTTTTTTTAGGGTCAGGCTTAGGGGTAGGGTTAGGGTTTAGGGATAGGGTTAGGGATTAGGGATAGGGTTAGGGTTAGGTTTAGGTTTACAGTTTGGC